CTTTAGCAGCCGCTGGGGTCTACTGTGCCTGACTGTACCTGCAGAGAACAGCTGAAATAACAAGGGTCCTCAACACCGCTACCTTCGGAGTCACAATCAACCGTCTGCGACTTCCTCCTTTTTTGGTCAGCGTTCAAATTAGAAAGGATAATTCTCACTCAATTTTCCAAGCGTCTGTCACATGAATTAAAACATTGAATCAATCTCTAAGCCACATGTAGCCGCTAAAGAGGAAGACAAAAGGAAATACCCGACGACGAGTGTGTGGTATATTCAGGGCCTCGAATTGGGAATCACCAATCGAGTTCACCCAGATGCATCTACAATTAAAGTCCTTTTCATGATGGATCATAACCTGAAAGTGAAACCTCTTTCTCTGTGCTCTATAGAAATATCCTGCAATTGGTATCGGAAAGCAAATGTATACAACCTCATTTCCCCATTTTCTCCATTTCTCCCGTTTTCCCCGTTTTAAGAATCATCAATCATCTCCCGCCACGACATGTCGAACCCAGCGATTATTTTGCGCGAGCTGTAATAGTAAAATTAGGAACCTTCATTCTGTCTTTAGCAAGCTTATGCCTTTCGTTTCTTAGACGGGGGTTGGGCACCATTGGCTTTGGGTTTCTCGTCGTCGTCGCCCATCTCCTCGTCTTCGTCATCGTCTTCGCCTTCGTCTTCCTCGAAGTCTACGTCACTAACGTCAACCTCTTGAGCTTGACCTGAAAAGGTTAGGGTTAGTGATGGCCGGACGCTCACCTTTGTAAATTAACTTACTGAAGTATTTGATCGCGTTGGGCCAGAGGTCGTCGCTGATAGAAAGGGCGACTTCTTCTCCGTCAGGGAAAATCTCAAGGGCTAAGGGGTCATCGTCTTCGTCCTCGTCTTCATCATCATCTACCTCCTCGAGGTCGGGAACCTTGCCTGCAGCTCTGTCGGCTCGCTTCTTCTTGTCTTCCTCGACGGCAAGACGGCTCTCCTCAGCAGAGACCTTTAAACCTCGGTATCCGAACCAGCCGAAGAAAGAAATAGCACCCATGCCAGTAGCTTCGATCTTCTCCTTCAACGCCTTCTCGTCGGGTGTGTAGTCCTTTTCCTTCTTGATCTTCGTGCTGTCCACAGCAGGGTTCTTCTTGTCGTTTTCCCAAACCTTCAGGACCAAGTCCAATAGTCCCTGGGTGAGGTCTTTCTCCGCAGACTTCCACTTAATGGGGACGGGCTCACTGACTAGGCTCTCTTCGCCGTGCTTGGACATACGGTACCAGAACTTCTTCTCTAGAACCTTGTCTTCGAACCACTCGTTCTCGCCGAATTCGAATTTGAAGGAAACGCTGCGAGGGTCACCCTTGCCGCCATTTTCAATCTCGAAATGAGAGACAGAGATGGAAGTTAGCGCAGAGAGAAGGACTGCAGAGTCACTTGGCTGGATGTATTGGTCAAGGTCTGGAGGTGCCTGCTCAAAGACCAAGGCCCAGAAGTTGGGAATATCGGCGACAAGTTTTGCTCTTTTCTCGTAGAGGTGCTTGTTCATAGCAACTTGCTGGCGAACTAAAGGGAATGTTAGTACATATATATTATTTATCTATCTATTTTTCTCCATTCACGGGTTTTAGGGTTTAAGTATAGTCATATGCCATAAAGTAGCGCCTTGAGATGCTGTTCAAGATCGCCGAGCCTTATGGTCGGGAGAACACTTACTGATTTCGGTCTCGACGTCATCAAATTCCTTCTCCAGATCCATCAGCTCCTCATAGGTAGCGATAGCTTGATCGACTTCGTCGCCCATGGTTGCAATATTCAAAGTTGATAGGGTTATGGCGTGAAGACGGTTGTTCAGACTCGAAGTTTTTGACGAAGAAATGTGAGAATCGTTCAGAACAGCTTGGATTCTGGGGCTTTATGAAAATTTCAGAAAATCACTTGTGTTTAGAGAAAAAAATTCTCGTTGATCAATAAACATCCGTCATTGGTTAACTGGGCTAGTACAAGAAGAACATCCCCGGTAGATTAACGCCGTGATTTGCTTGGATCCTCCCCGCGCAAAACCTTGGCAAGGGTCCGAATCTATACCCCTCTATTGGAAGTTCCGCCCTGTGAAGCTACTACTTGCACGGAAAAAAAAAATACAACTATGGATGATAACAGCAAAGATGGGTATCTAATTTTTTTTCAATTTTTATTCTAAATGAAACATTCTAGATCACTAATGCTCGATGATCCCTTGTTGCTAAAGCATTACTGTTGGTTCATACACCTAGTGTTCACTGTTGGTGGGGGTAATGCATGTCTTAGATGCCTAAGTACTAGGTAGTATTTGCGACAAGCTATCTTACATAGAGGTTGAGCACACTAAACATGCCTATTAACCAAAATATTCCAGGTACCTACTTACTATCTTTAGGAGGTACATATGATCCTACTAGGTAGTTTAACATCATCAACTTGCCCTCAAATATCAACAATTCCTAAATGAATGAATATGAAGTTAAACGATACCAGTCCAACAACACAGAATTTACAACCACCATTGTAGTCAACATCCCTTATCATCCGCCCATGCCAGCTGCTTGCAGAGCGGAAAAAATACTTCTTGCGGCAACATCTCCCTGGGCGCTCTGCAAAAGTGCGGCCAGAGAGCCTATGCAGAAACCATATATGTTAGCAATCAATAACATCAGCCTAGGTATATCGAGACAAACTAAACTCCAAGACAGACTACATACCATCAACGATGCCTCTCCCGGCAAATCCAAACCTTGCGAGAATTGGACCTACTATGGCTTGACCAATTGGCGTGCTAAGTACCATGCTGATAGCAACTTGGGCGGCTGTGGTAAGGACGTTGCCCATCTTGAAGTACCTAGGAAGTAAAGATTGGCGTATATGCCTAGTAATTTTCCAATCAAAGGTGCTGGAAATATGTGCGAGAGCTATATGATATGGATTTGTAGTGTTCTTTGAGCTGGCCGATAAGAACTGACAGTAAGTTGTTCACTTTGGCCAATTTAGACCAGAAGCAAGCCAGCATCCGCAGGCAGCGAGAGCTTTTATACTACTCCGGAAACATAGTTGCTGTTTGAAGTTCAACCAGAGCTTCTACCAAACTCGGGAAATTCTGGAGAATTCATCTGCCTACCAGTGTTTTCCGATTCGAGCTGTCAATATCAATATATTCGTTTGCAAGTGATATGAGAGCTATAGCTACCAGGGCGGGTACTTTGGTCCACGGAATAAATGAGTGTTTACCATGACGGCAACGTACCTAGGTAAGTAGGTACCAATGGTGACCGTGTGTGACTTTGAATGTCTATTGTGACTGGCGGATGAGTACATGCAGTGCGGCAAGCGAGGGTATCACGGAGTCGACGAGTCATTTCTACAAATGACGAATACCGTCGGGCTAATTCAGTTGACCGGTCTCCAAGGCTTCCTTCCGTGTCTTAACTTTCCGTGTCCCAGATTCTAAGAAGCCTTATACAAGGTAGCACAAAGAATCATAGCTCGGAGTTCACAAGTTACCACCTACCTACATACTGGAATATACACCTAGTTACCTGCTAGGAGGTACCTATGTAGCATCATGATGTTATTAGATCTAGGATGTAGCTATCTAAATCCCTTGTACCATCAATACGACACTGAGCCGGTCTGCGACGGCATGCGGGTAGGGTGGGGTCACTGCAGGTCCCAGCAAACCAAATCAAGTGGGGGTAAACCTACCAGGTACCTAATACCCGCCCAGAATTAACCCACTTTATAGCGGGCGGTCGCATTTGGCAAAAAAAGAATTATCTTCAATCGTTATCGCATGTGCAATTCCCGGTGCTACGTCGCTACGCCGAATAGTTCAATATAGTTGCATCCCAACACTGTTTATCCTCCCGTCGATCCATATAAAAACGTGTACTACAAGATGAACGGCATACCCGGAGCCGGAGCCCCCGCGGCTCAAGGTCAATATGACCCGAACGATCCCAACCTCAAAAGGGTTTGCTTCCCCTCATCGAGCCACATTGTCCGGTCTAAGATGTACTGACGTAGATGGATTAGTTAAACGCGATGATGGAGTCCTGTTTTGGCAAAGCTGCTGTCTCAGGTGTAATGGGATTCGGTATGGGCGGTCTCTTCGGAATGTTCATGGCATCTGTATGTGCATCCTCACATATCTATATCCCACCCAACCCCGCAAGACCATATCTCTAACTAGCTCACGATAGATGTCCTACGACACACCCTTCCACACTCCCGGCGCCCCGGGCGCGCCAACTCCAATAACCTCGCTCCCATTGCGCCAGCAGCTGAAAGTCGGATTTAAAGATATGGGATCAAGATCATACAGCACGGCCAAGAACTTCGGACTCGTCGGCCTGATGTTCGCGGGTATCGAGTGCGGTATTGAGGGATACCGCGCGAAGAACGACATGCTCAACGGCACAGCTGCTGGCTGTTTAACAGGTGGAATTCTAGCGAGGAGTGGTGGTCCGACTGCAGTTGCTGGAGGATGCGCGGCATTCGCGGCATTTAGTGCGGCGATAGATGCCTGGTTGCGACAGCCAAAGGACGACGAGTAGAAAGAAGTGCGAGGTATGAGGAGCTGAACACACAGAGGGGAAGAACACGGGGTGTACGATTACGAACATGGTTCTTTTTGGCAACTAAAGACCCTCAAACGGCGTTGGGTCACGGATTGCATAGCATGATGGCGTTATGGTTTACGCGGATCTGTAGAGGGGGGCCATATTCTCCACTTAGGATCTTGAGGTTTATAGAAGACAGGCATCATGGGACAATTAAGGAATGTCAATACTGAAAGATGAACCTAAATTAATTCATGATAGAGTACTTACTATAAACGCTTAATTGCTTCAATAGTCATGGTTATTATGACTAATGGCGAAGTGGGGACGAAAATATGATTGCTGTCTAGGCGGATTATCTATATTATAGCAATTACGGGAGTAGTTGGCCATCACATGGGAACTTCTACGATCCCCGACAAGTCCGAATTGGTGTAGTGGCTAACATTTGACGCTCTCAAGATTATAAAATCAAAGGAACCGTCAAGCCCGGGGTTCGATTCCCCGATTCGGAGTTCTTTTTATCCTTCCCTTGAAAAAATCTTCTTGGTGTGGGCGCTAGTATAGGCCTATATGACCCATAAGGGTTAGCTAATAGTTAAAGGGCTGAAGCCAGAGGGCAACCCACATATAATAAATAATCAAGGGAATCCGATCAATTGTGCACATGTTATAATAGAAAGGAAGTGGGTAATGCTTTAATTAGTCGTTGTGCTTAACGGGTTTTTGGACAGCATAGTTATGTTACGAGCATGTCTCATTAACTTTAACCCTTCTAGCTTTAGCAAACCTCACTGCTGCTGAAACGAAAGTGTTCAAGACGATCGATTGGTTGTACGAGTACTAGAAAAAAAGGGGTGAGAAAAGCGAGAGGAACATCATGTAGTAGTCAGCATAAAACTTTTCTTTTCACTTGCTTTTCTCACAAGCGGAATAACTAATGGTAGTCTGGCTCATATCCCATGGTGCCGCCTCATAAACTTTGTCTCCCCACCACCCACCCATCGTATAGCATACCTCTCTCTCATATGCCTATCCGACCACATCTTAAGAGATTAAGAAAATCCACGTAAAGCCTCTATCCATGTCGTGTCAATTCTGCAGCGCTCGCTCCGCCCGCCAGTAACAAGTACCATAACCTGATGAGAAACCCGGAAATAACCACCAACTCCAAGTGATATCAATCATTATTAAGTCATATGGACCCCCAACATTTAGGAGGCCTTGTAAACCTGGAACGCGCCAAATTCCCAATATGCGTCGGTGAAGGCGGACGGGTAATTAGCGACGTAGTCGGTGCAGTTACTGGGACCTATGAATAATTAGCAACCCGACAGCTGAAGAAGTGAGTAGATAGAACTTACAGCCACTTGTCGAGTACACGTTGCCAGCGTACTGTCCGCAAAGGTCGATGTTGACGATAATGCTCTGATTCTTGAAATGCGAGCCGATGTCACAATCTGTGTTCGGGAAGTCGGCGGAAGCCTCGCCCCAGGTGGTTGGGTCCGGGCTTCCGGATGTGATATCGGTTGGGATCCCGTTCCTTCCGAATGACCAGACCCGAATACCTTCATCACGCCACTCCATGGCCATAATGCCACCATCGGCGTCGTTGTAAGCGCTGCCGTACGTGTCCGTGGCGGTTCTAACACCACAGCCAGCGTTGTCGTCGGTAGCGTTATAACAATCAGTGCTGATGGACGAACCAATCATCTTGCGCTTGACTTTCATCTCGCAGGAATCCGTCGTATGCAGCGTCATCTGATTACCATCCGTGGCCTTGTTCACTGCCTCCATCACATCGATTTCTCCGTTGTCCGGCCAATTGTTAGGGTCGACGAGCCACAAGGCCGGCCAAGTTCCGCATCCAAAAGGAGTGTGCTTCACATCAAAGATGAAGAGACCACTGTCGTATTGGGTCTTGGACTGGACTCGTACGGAGAAGCGACCAGTAGACGCATCTGGGCTAGAGGTATTGCCGACGCTGGTATCGACCTTTAGAACTGCTGAGTCTGCGCTCGCATATGTGAGATTCTAAGAGAGTAGTTAGTATCATGATAAAGGACTTAACACAATTGAGACACGAACCAATTGCGTAGCTCGTGCCTCAGGAACGTAATGGACGAATCCTGAGGCCGGATCGTATCCTTCAAAGTAATCGAACTTATCGAAGAAAGTTGTTCCATTGTCTAAAAGTAGAAGGTTAGCATAAACATGAATTTATACTATACGGGAGTCAGTTGCGCAACCTACATGTGTCTGATAAGGTGTAATTGATGAAAGAGTAATCCGGATATCGGTTCGCCTTAGTAACCTCGACCGGTACGACAATTACGATAACGATAATCACAGCTACAACTGCTGCAACAATTGCCCAAGTCCTCTTTCTCCAAGACTTCGGGTTCCACCAAGGCGCGGCTGGTTGTGATGCCATATTCCCTCGTGGCGGTAGCTGGTGTTCTGTCGAGTAGTACGGTGGTGCACCGGAGACCATTTCAACCGGACCATCAGTATCTCTGACCTGAAAGGAAGCGGGACCAGCCCGTGGCTGGTAGTTCGAATTCTCCCAACCCATATTTGTATAGGAGCTGCAAAGACCTGCAAGATAAGCTCGTAAAAAAGCTCCGGCTTAAATCGCTTGGCGACCGTTGACAACGAACGAATGCGAGTGATAATCTAGCAGCCTAGCTGCGCCGCAAACTCGCCAATGAATTGATATCCAATTTAGGGAAGCGGTTCCGTCGAAAAGGTTGTTTCTTCTGCAGAACGAATGTGTTCTTCTCGACTACTTAAGAACCTGCTTAACGATCGTATGGCTTCTAGCCGTAGTGTTTGATGTGTAAAGTGTGTGTTGGAGGTTGGAGTTATCGTATTTTAGGAATAAGTTGGCAAGAGTCCAGTTTAAAGAAACAACTTGGATGCTTGAAGTGGCGTGTGTAGAGTTCCGGGATTCCCAAAGTTGGTTGGGTACCGGATATCAGCACGAGCTTTAGGTAGGTACGTGTGGTACTGAATGGTACTTCAACTGATTTGAATTAACATTGGAGCCTCCAATGTTATCCTAAGGCTTAAGTGGTAATAAACACCTTGTTGTCACGCAACCACCAAACAGAAAGAGCAATGATAATACGAGCTAAGCCTCTGCGATTCCAATAAAAAGGGAAGCTTCAAAGCACATTTCGGGGGTACCTCGAGATGTATTGTACCTAATATACATCCACGGATACAATGGAAATTTTAGAGTGCGCTACGATACAGGTACCGTAGCAACTTAGAACCTTAACACCACAATCAAATCTTGCAACGCCAAAAAAACCTGAACAAGAAGAATTGGAGAAGGCTGACGCGTTGGAAGTTCCACGTTCGGTCCATTCAAGTAACTAATCATGCCGATGATGCCGGTCTATTTTTCAGTCCGCCGCCCTACATGCCTAGTACACAGGTAGGCTAGTAGGTATTACATACCTACGTACGCAGCCGGGTGGTGCGATAGCTCCAGTGACACATCATTTTGCCTTTTCCCTTGTACTATTTGAGGTATACGACAGGGATGGGCATTTGGTACCTTTTTGCTTTTTTTGGTCGTTGATCATGTTGTCGTCATATCCTTACCCGAACACTTGGAGCCCTAATTTAGGGGTCTAATGTTGAAAACGTTGATATAAGGCAGATAAGGATTAATCTAAAAAAAAAAATCTAACCAGTTTATATCGGGACGTCGGCGCATCAAAAGCAAATGCGGTAAACAGGTTTTCATCAGATGTACTTGTTGTTTCTATTCACGAGAAGATACATCATGGATAGGTGCAGGTACATCGTATTGCGGACCCCGGACCTCGAAAAGTGTTTCGCAAAGATCTGATCCACGCTACGATTAAGCACAGCCCCCCGATGACGTGCGGCTAATTTATCGATACAGTATCGGTATCGTCGACTAGGAGCCAATAGATATAAACGCTAAGCAATGGCCCGTGTTCTGGAACGTCGTCCGTTCGAGATGCATACTTCGCGTCTTATCGCCGCTTCCTGCTTAGCAACTAACGTCTTGACGGTCCGGTCCGGCATTCATTATAGGTACGATGAAATGGTCTACCCGTTTTCGCTGTTTTAGGATGAATCGGACGACGATATAGTACATAAAACGAAGAAAATTCTAGCCGATTGTACAATCATACGGATGGCCACGGAGGCTCTAACCTGTGTCTTTTGCTACAGATCAAGGCATCTCGAAGATTTCATTAATTCCGATTTTATCGAAGGGTGGCTAAAGCCCTTTTAATGTCTGTATATACACGAGTCCATTGACCAGCATAGAGAAGAGCGAATGAATAGTTATGTCATTCAGTCATCATCCTCATCCACCCGAGCACGTTTCGGTTGCCTTGACTCTCCATCCTGTAACCCATAACCTCTCTTTGACGAAGAACTCTGATCCACTTCGGCCATAAACTTATCCATCTGAAAGGGGTCATTGGTGGCGGTGTCCTTCTCAAATTGGACCGGCCCTTCCCGTGCCTGTTTCCACCCGAATTAGTAAAAGTCAATTGAAAGTGTTTGGTGGTACTAACCTCAGCATCGCCCGTCCCCTTGAAAGTCCCCTTACCCAGCACCTCACCGAACCGGCTGGTCTTTTGGATCTTGGCCATCTCCCGATCTCCGGCTCCTTCATCCTCGTACTCATCCATATTCTGGCTGGGTCGATATATACTGCTGATCGCATCCTGGGCTGCGAATAGGGGCTTGTCGTAGGGATTGTCTTCATTAAAACCACTGTCGAAACCGCTTGTCTGGTTGAATAGACGTGAGTCGTACATCGACTCGGCTTGCGCCGTGGGTTTTGCCAGACCAAGGGCGACCTTCTCTGAGATGTCACGGTTCTGTTCTCGTGCCATAACCTGAATTCGTCTCTCCGCACCCATACGTGACTGTCGGAGTTTGCGCTCTTCCTCCCGACGTCTTTCTTGGCGGGCTCTTTCTCTTTCGCGCACTTCCGAGCTATCACTATCCGAACCAGACTCCGAATAGCTGTAGCTGCGTGAGCGCGACCGCGAGTCACGCGATGATCGCGAATCGCGACGCTTTGAGGCACCACCACGCTCTTCTCGGGCCTTTTGCGCAAGCATACGGAGGTTCTCCTCCTTTTGCGTCTTTTCCTTCTCAGCGAGTCTTTGCTGCATGAGTGCTCGTTGCCTAACTTCCTCACGGGCATGTCGATCCGCCATGAAGAGAGCCTCTGAAAATTGTGCAAATTTGTCGTTAATTGCAATATCTTGTAAGCCTCTTCCGTCTGCTGCCAGTCGCTTGTCTAGAGGAACTGTGAAACCCTTGGGGTTCTTCCAGTTCGATACTGGGGGCGGGATCTTCCACATCTCTTGGTCTTCGGCAGTTAACTTGCGGGGTGGCGAGTGCATCACAGGAGGTGGTGGACTAGGAGGTCCTCGTGGAATCTTCTTGTGTTTGAACTTCGGTGGCTCCACTGTAGTACACATAGTCAGTAATTGAAACGTAGAATAGG